ATTTCTATGTATCTGTTCGGGAGAAGTCTGTGCGTTTATAGCCTTTTGTGTTGTTGAAAAGGTATTTGCAATGAAGAAACCATTGGTCTTGCAAATTTCTATCACCAAGACCATGTTTTCCAATTACTATTCCTTCCTCTTTGTTTCCACCTTTTGCATTCCAATAGTCATTAATTATCATTGCACTTGATTGCATATTTGATTAAATTCAGACTGAAAATGTTGATAGAATTATTCAATTTTACATCACTAACATTATTGGTTGGGCTATAAATTCGAGCAATAATTTTATTGATGGAATTTATTTATATTGGTATAGATACCGGATCACAGTAGTGCACTTCAAGGTCGGCCTTGAAACATTCTTTTTGACTACAAAGTAATGCAATGCCTCTTGACTCTGTCACTCCTGGCCTAGTAAAGCATATGATTTTCTTATTGAAAATAGTCAATAGCAGTCCATTTCAGCTCACTAATGCCTAGAATGTAAATTTTTATCCATTCAATTTCATTTTTGAAAATTTCCAATTTTCCTATGTTCATGTTTTGTACATTTCAAATTTCAATCATGAATTAATGTTAAAAGCGGAGTCTTCTCATTTTGTCATGCTCCGTGATTAAATGGAAGCTACGGCGGTTTGTCCCGCAGGTTTTACTCCACCCACTCTCTTTGCAGCGAGCAGCTCTCTTCAGCTGATGTACTTTAAGGGCCTTCTTACCTCAGGGCCTTTTCTTGTGACCTTCTCTTTGACCCGGTTCTGCTTCTATTCATGACGTTTGCAGTAGCTGGAAATGTTTCGGTGCTATCCATGAGGTTTTCTGTGGCTGATTCCTTAGATGTGGACAGCCTGTTCCTTCTTTGTCATCGGTTGTTAGTCTGGAAGCTCTGCTGAAAAGAAAAATTCATTTTGGGTGACGTTGCTGATATTTGAAATATCAGTGACATAGCTTGCAGCATCACAACAACACACAGGCCCCCACAGTGAGACAGACTGACAGGCTGAGCAGTGGTGAGCAGATATAAACTGTCACACACGACGCTAGATGAGTGTGCCACAGAAGTTAAGCATTTGACTGTACCTGAAAGAACTGTGCTTTAAACCCACCAGGTGCCCGCTGAGAGAAAATGCCTGGCATTCTGCTTCCATACAGATTCCAGCCTTGGCAATCCTATGGCCCAAGTCTTATTTGTCTCATAGGGAAACTAAATTGAGCAACAACAGCACCTACCAACAGCTATCTTAATGACTGAGGAGCTCTCGTCGTTTTCCTCCTCACTATTACTGCTGAGTGAGCTTGAAATACAAACAGACTAGCAGTCGATCACAACCGGTTTATGGTCGCAGAACCCCTGAATCTTCATCTTTTGTGAGTCCATTTGGCAGACTAAAATTGAAGAAGAGAGCAAAGAATGTGGTTTTAATCTGTTCTCCTTGAGATCTAGTTTGACTTGGTAGCAGGGTTAATAAATAGATGACGTAGGACAATTTAGGGCTGAGCTGTGTTAATTAGGTACAGATAGGAACTGAAAATCCAGGGAATCCAGGGTGGATGAGCCCTACAGGACCAGTGGTGTGAGTAGTGAAACAGGGAGGGTAGAGGGAGAGTGGGTAGAAAAGAGGGAACCGATTACAAGGAACTATATGTGATCTCCTCCCTGGGGGACGGACAACCGAAAAGTGGGTGAAGGGAGACGTCGGACAGGGCAAGATATGACAAAATAATAATTTATAAAT